ACTAGAATATGATTCTCATCCTCTGTGGATGAAATACTAGTTAGAATATGCACTTGAACTGTTGGTGAACTTAGGAACTTAGATTTAAATTCTAAGTTTTAAATTTAAAATCTAAGTTGTTCATGCAGCATTGGCTATAATATTGGAGGGTCCTGGCCATATAACTCCTCATCACACCCCCTCCCACACTCTACCTCAACTCCCTGTGATACTAAATATTACCCATTAGATATGAGGAAGCGGTGGCACATTGAAATGTATGTATCTACACTAATAAAAGAGAAACATGGTAATTAGTGTTCGACCGCTACCCTTTTCATTGGCTAATCAGTGAGTATATGCAAATTAACTGTCAGCCAAGATGGCGGCCGGCAGCCAGGCACTGAAGCGAGCAGGGAGGCTTGCTTGCTGCAGACTCAATTTTTGTGCACCGGGCCTCTAGTGTAATAATAATGACAGAGATAGAAAAAATACCTATTGAAACTCTTATAGTCTGAAAGTTACACCTTTTCAGGTAGTTCTTTGGACAATGAGTGAACTACATACTACTTTAAGGAAATGTCCTCAATTACCCTTTATAACAGAAAGCAGAATCAGAAAAATATTCCTTTTACTTCCTGCTGAATCATATAAGATAGCTAGTGCTGCACAGCACAAAAAGCTAACTCAGGGTTGTTGATAATAATTTGTGTTCCAACTTAACACCTAAAAGAAAGAATCAAAAGAAAGTGGGTCATGAGAGAAAAGGAACAAGGAGAAATCCAGGACAACACTGGATATTGATATAATATTTTCTGCTCAAAATAATTAAAGAAGAAAAATAAAAGAATTATTATGGATCTTGCACTAAGATTGCTCACCAATTTATTCCAAATTGAGAGGACATTAATGGTTTGGAAGAATACAGGGTGGGGCAAAATGAGGTTTACAGTTGTTTGTATGAAAAATAAAACAATAATCCTATATAATAAAGAAATAATATGCTAATTAGACCAAACAGCAGAATGACCATCCGGATGAAGCTGGGGCTGCTAGGGCCAGCCAGGGCTGCAAGGGCCCCTTGCACGAATTTCATGCATTGGGCTTCTAGTGAATAAATAATAATACAAGAATAAACTGTTACACATACTCACAACTTTAATACCACCCTATAAATGCAGAAAAAGCTTTACTTAAGGCATCTGCTTTTGTTCTCAACAAGAAATTAGGAAAACATGAAATAAGAGATATGTCATGAAATGGCTACTGCTGAAAGTGAAATTGGATGAGACAAAATATGATTATGTAAAAAATAGAAATGTAAAAATGTATTTTATATAGATAAGAACAGAAATGACAATGAAGAAAATATAATCAGTAATTTGAAGCATAACCTAAAATACTCTTCTAGAATGCAAGAAATTTAAAAGCGAGATTTAATGTGAGTGCTATGCAACAGAAAAACTTGAAAAAGCCATAACTAAAAGAGATACTAAAGAAATTCCCACACTCCAATGGAATGTACTTTTCTTTTTAACACATAACTGGAATTATTGACAAATTAAATGAGAATGTGAGACATGTTTTTTAGATTAAAAAAGAAAAAACCCTGAAGACCCAGACTTTTCCAAAATAATAAATAGAATAAAAGAATTGTCATATACTGAGTATAGAAGAAAATGTTTGTGATTTAATGTTTACTACCAAGTTGTTTATTTCCAAAAACAATTGAAAAAATAATCAGATATTTAAGACTCTGAAATAATAATCAAATGCTTGTGTTTTCTGAAAATTATTCAAAGCCATTTTCAAGTCATCTGATAAAAGCATCAAATAAAATCAAGAACACACAGCAGTACCTTTATAGGTCTGTCATTCTATGTAGAAAAAAAAAAGCATAAAGGTAGTTATTTAAAAATTTTAAATATAGTGCTATACCTTAATCCAATCTTAAAATATCACTTCAACAAAATATATATAATTTATGTTTTCATTATTTCTTTGTCTTTCACCTCAGTGAGTTTTAATATCCCATTTTCACCCTCACATGATGCCTTTCTTTATGACTTATGATGTACTTTTTGATTTCCCTAGGAAAGTAAAAGTAAATTTTCTAAATTTATGGGTATGCAATGACAACATTGGAATCATTTAAGGTGTTATTTATTAATGAAGTACAAATCAATTGTTAATTTGACTGGGAATTGCTCAATGAAATTGAAATTTAATGTAGAAGTCATTAGTAACTGGGTAGATGATTACAAAAAGTATATTGTTAAATTTGTCAAAGATTTAATAAAATAAGTAGCTGATTTAATGGTTTTGTTCTCATTGGTAGAGTTGAGATCAATAATTTCAGATTAGTTAATTAATCCATTAATCTATTTTATCTTCTGCAGTGCATGTTACATAGTTAACTCTCTAGGGCAGCAGTTCTCAACCTGTGGGTCTCGACCCCTTTGGGGGTCGAACAACCCTTTCACAGGGGTCACCTAAGACCATCGGAAAACACATATATAATTACATATTGTTTTTGTGATTAATCACTATGCTTTAATTATGTTCAATTTGTAACAATGAAAATCCATCCTGCATATCAGATATTTACATTATGATTCATAACAGTAGCAAAATTACAGTTATGAAGTAGCAACAAAAATAATTTTATGGTTGGGGGTCACCACAACATGAGGAACTGTATTAAAGGGTCACGGCATTAGGAAGGTTGAGAACCACTGCTCTAGGGTGTCTACCAGGTGACTGATTGTTGTGATTTATTCACTAACTGCAAGAGAACACTGTTAATTGCATTATATTCATTATCTTTTGGCTTCAGTATTATCTGCATAACTAGTTTATGATTATTTTTCTTGCATAGCTAACTAAATGAACTAGGAGTTCTAAGTAATTTGAAGAGGAATTATGAATCTATGAAAAGCCCTCATAATTACAAGACTTATAACCCTGGGCAAATCACTTAACCTTTTAGAGTTATTTCCTTTCAACCAATAAGATAGGTTTATGGAGATAGTTCTGTATAATTAATGAATTTTGTCAGTAATATATATTAGAATATGCATGAAATTGCTTTATAAACTTAATATATTGTTATTGTTATTATAATTGCACTGATATAAATTTCTTGCTATGCTCTCATAAATTTCAAAATGAGATTGTAGATCAAAGGCTAGTTCTGTGATTATTGAAAAGTTAGTTGGCAGAGCTCTCCTATTAGTTTTGAGTAAAAAGAGATTGTGGTTAGATATATTAACTTAATGACTGGGTTAATAATGTATAGATCATATATAGAGCAAAAATGGACAGAATCTTATATAATAAAGAGCTAATATGCTAATTAGACCAAATAGCAGAACGACCATCCGGATGACCTTCTGGCCGAGGCCGGGGCTGCGAGGGCCGAGCCCCTTGCACAAATTTTGTGCATCAGGCCTCTAGTTTATCTATAAAGAGCAAGATAGCAATATTATAGACTTTCCAGGCCAAGAGGCAAATTTAGGATATAAGTATTTATTTACCATTTAAAGTATTTAAAAAATACATTTTATCTGGTAGATCATTCAAGGCAGTGAAAATTATATGCATTTTAAAAAATCAATCCTATACTTGAAAGATTGTTTCCAAATGGTTCTATTTTAAACAATTCTGCAAACATTTTTTTTACTGTGAATTTCTGCTATTGCTCATATGGAAAAGTTTTCCTGGTGTCTATACATAGAATTAGAATCACATAGTTTTATGTATTTACATCTTCAATTAACTAATAATGCCAAAATTTTCTTTGAAGTACTCATACCCATTTTTACTTGCAAAGGAAGGATATGAGTATTTCTGTTTCTGCCTATTTTGTCAGATTTTATAATTTTTTTCCAATCTGGTACCTAGGAAATGTATCTAAGTGTTTTATTATATTTCCTTGCTATATGCATATGCATGTGTTTGTATTTTAATATATATAGTGTACATATACACATATGTGTGTATATGTAGTATATACAAATAAAACCAAATAAATTGGTCTAATAAACATCAAATTCAAATAGTGTTTAGCTGTCATGGAGATGAAAGAGTGTGACTCAGGAGGTAGGGTGCTTAGAAGATGTATATATATATGTAATATTTTGTTTCTTCATTTAATTATATATCTAAAAAGTGCATTAGCATTATATTATTAATGCAATCTATTGCATTAATTCATGTGTTTTAATATTCTGCGATATTTAACTTTTTAATTTTATTTAAACATTTTATGCATGATTGTTATGGCAGACATGCTTGGTGAACCTTGTCAAAGTCAGATCATTTGTTTTCCAGCCTATTTTGATGCCATTGAGCAGTGACTTTCAACTGGTGCACAGAGGCACATTGGTGTGCCACAAAATATTTTAAAATATGCAATACCTGACTATTTAGTCAGGGGTACTGACCTCTTTTTCCTTAGATTGTCAAATTAAAAAATGACAACAGCCAACACACAACAATAGTTATCTGGTGTGAATGAATCAAAATGATACCTATATTTTTTATCAAATCAGCAAAATTATACTATATAGTTTGGTGCACTGCAGAAATTTTGTAATTCGTTTATGTGTGGCATGATATGAAAAAGCTTAAAAATCGCTACCATAGAGGGTCACATAACCATGCTATAATAGTATCAGTTTAGGAAGTCTGCTGGAAGATTCTGGGGGATAATTGCTTTGCTAATGAAAGAAATAAGCCATGGAGACAGAGTTTGCGTCATCCCGACTGGCTTTTCCTATTTTCTGGCTGTGAATATAGTTAATACATACTATATAATAAAAGCCTAATATGCTAAGTGTCTGGTTGTCCAGTTGTCAGTTCAACCAATCAAAGTAGTGTACATATACACATATGTGTGTATATGTAGTATATACAAATAAAACCAAATAAATTGGTCTAATAAACATCAAATTCAAATAGTGTTTAGCTGTCATGGAGATGAAAGAGTGTGACTCAGGAGATAGGGTACTTAGAAGATACATACATATATATATATATGTAATATTTTGTTTCTTCATTTAATTATATATCTAAAAAGTGCATTAGCATTATATTATTAATGCAATCTATTGCATTAATTCATGTGTTTTAATATTCTGCGATATTTAACTTTTTAATTTTATTTAAACATTTTATGCATGATTGTTATGGCAGACATGCTTGGTCAACCTTATAAAAGTCAGATCATTTGTTTTCCAGCCTATTTTGATGCCATTGAGCAGTGACTTTCAACTGGTGCACAGAGGCACATTGGTGTGCCACAAAATATTTTAAAATATGCAATACCTGACTATTTAGTCAGGGGTAATATAAAAGACATCTTGTTATCCAAAGGAAAAAAATAGCATTGTGAGAATTCTAGAAATGAAGAAGAGTTTATGGTACTATTTTTAAAATACTGAACAACTCCTGGATCACCAATCTATTATTTTTTGTTAAATATACCATACATTTCTTTTGATTAATGTCATAGTTATTTTGAGTTTCTGTTACTTTAGAGAATGCTTTTTAGTTTATGAATATTTTTAAAATTTTGTAATAGTTAGCATATTATAAAGAAAATAAATATTAAAGATAATCTTACACCTACAGAGTTCTATATGCAGCTTGCTAATTTAAGTGATTTCTCTTATGTTTACCTTAGTTCAGCGGTTCTCAACCTGTGGGTTGCAACCCCTTTGGGGGTCGAACAACCCTTTCACAGGGATCGCCTAAGACCATCGGAAAACACATATATAATTACATATTGTTTTTGTGATTAATCACTATGCTTTAATTATGTTCAATTTGTAACAATGAAATTGGGGGTCACCACAACATGAGGAATTGTATTGGCTGTGAATATAGTTAATACATACTATATAATAAAAGCCTAATATGCTAAGTGTCTGGTTGTCCAGTTGTCAGTTCAACCAATCAAAGTGTAATAAGCTAATGATATGCTAAGGCCACTCAACCACTTGCTATGACGTACACTGACCACCAGGGTGCAGATAGTCAACTGGTCGACCAGTTGCTATGACATGCACTGACCACCTGGGGGTAGACACTCCAATCGGTAGGTTAGCTTGCTGCTGGGGTTTGGCTGATTAGGACTAAGCGAGATGGGCCGGACATGCCCTGGAGCCCTCCCACTCTCCCTCCTTGGCTAGCCAACCTCCCGTGCCACTCCCTCGCCCCGATTGTGCACTGATGGGGTTCCTTGGCCTAGTCTGCACCCTCTTGCAATCCGGTACCCCTTGGGGGATGTCGGAGAGCTGATTTCGGCCCGATCCCACAGGCATAAAAGACTAATATGCAAATCAACCGGTTGCTATGATGCACACTGACTACCATGGGGCAGACACTCATGCAGGAGCTGCCTCCTGGTGGTCAGTGCACTCCCACAGGGTGAGCGCCGCTCAGCCAGAAGCTGGGCTCACAGCTGGCAAGCACAGTGGTGATGGCAGGAGCCTCTCCTGCCTCTGCAGCAGCGCTAAGGATGTCCGACTGCCAGCTTAGGCCCACTCTCCATAGGGCAAGAGAGCACAGGCCAGGCTGAAGGACCTCCCCCCCAAGTGCAAGAATTTTGTGCACTGGGCCTCTAGTAGAGATATAAAAGACATCTTGTTATCCAAAGAAAAAAAATAACATTGTGAGAATTCTAGAAATGAAGAAGAGTTTATGTACTATTTTTAAACTACTGAACAACTCCTGGATCACCAATCCATTATTTTTTGTTAAATATACCATACATTTCTTTTGATTAATGTCATAGTTATTTTGAGTTTCTGTTACTTTAGAGAATGCTTTTTAGTTTATGAATATTTTTAAAATTTTGTAATAGTTAGCATATTATAAAGAAAATAAATATTAAAGATAATCTTACACCTACAGAGTTCTATATGCAGCTTGCTAATTTAAGTGATTTCTCTTATGTTTACCTTAGTTCAGTGGTTCTCAACCTGTGGGTTGCAACCCCTTTGGGGGTCGAACAACCCTTTCACAGGGATCGCCTAAGACCATCGGAAAACACATATATAATTACATATTGTTTTTGTGATTAATCACTATGCTTTAATTATGTTCAATTTGTAACAATGAAATTGGGGGTCACCACAACATGAGGAACTGTATTAAAGGGTCGCGGCATTAGGAAGGTTGAGAACCACTGCCCTAG